GGCCAAAAAGCCCACTACCTCTGACAGCTGGTTATCTGCAAAACAGCACTGACAGGGTACAACTTGACCAGAGCCAGCTGACCCTGCCGACCCACTGGCTTGGGCATAGAGAGCAGCCTCCCATCCAAAGAAAACCTGGAGGTAGCCAGGGCACAGGGAGAACACTGGTAATCATGGTCCCCAGTTCTGCAGGACACTTGGGAAGTGACACCCAAAAGGTAACACAGGGTAGGCGCTGTCCAGACCTCACTGTGACTTACTGGCTTGGATGACCATTTTGACGAGACCATGGCCCAACCACTACACAGGCAGCTCACTGACCAGTCACCTCAGCTGGTTTGAGTTTATGCCTTCACAACTTCTTGCTAAAAGCCTTTGTTGCTGGGGCATGCATGTCCCTTGACATTACATCCCTTGACATTACAGAGGAAGAAGCTGCAGCTTTCCAGAGGTTTGGGTGGGGTGGGGGTAGGGGGGGTTGTTTGCTTCTGGCTTCCTGGAGGGTCCTGCAAGGCCCAGTTCCAGCAGCTCTGCCTGGGGCACAGCAGTAGGGAAAGAAAAGACTGTGCAGGATCTGTAAAACCCTGGCATGTGGTTTCCTCCAGAAACAGGAGCCTCTTGATGGAACTTGCAACCCCAGCAGTGAGCAATAAAAGCAAGCACTTTCATTTGCGAGCTGCAGCCTGGCTCACTCCAGAGCCTGCACAGACATACACTGCTCAGTACACAGCGGGACCAGGAAAAATCAGCAAGGCCCAGTACTGGTTTCCATGCAGACTGTGGTGCAAGGCCAGACAGGGTTGTTCTTTGGGCCTCACAGGAGGAGCAGGTGAGGAGCTCCTGGAGCCTGGGAACAAAGAGGTGCCTCTGCAGCAGGCAGCAGCTTGGGGGCCAGGGCGGGGGGCTGTGCCATTATGAATTAGCTGTTCTACAGGAGCCTGGGAGCAGCTCAGCTCTGTGGAAGTCTCCAGCTCATTTTCTGTGATTGATCATCTCCCCAGCAATCCCCTCTGAAATTCCTGCCTGCCAGAGGAAACTGCCAAGGTGGTGGGAAGCACTGTGAGCCAGAAAGCAAGGCTGGACCCACCCAGAGCAGGAGCTCCTGTCTGACAGCTCAGGCTGGTAGCTCCAGCAGGCTCTCCCAATCTTCCTGGGAGCTCAGGCCTGACCAGGCTCATCACTGAGCTCTTCTTCCAGGCTCCAGGCCTCTTAGCTGAGAGTCTTCCACCCAAAGTGAGGCCTGCTTAGAAAGAGCCAACAGGAAGAACAGGGAGAGCTCCAACATGTTCCTGGCAGGCAGGAGCCCTGCATGCACTGCAACAGACCACCAGCAGAAAGAACACCACCCCTGCCCAAAAGCAGAGCAACCAGAATAATTCTTCTGCACCAAGTAGAACAACTACAAGAACATAAACCAAAGGCCACTCACATATCAGTAACTTACAGAAAACCTCACTAAAGCCATAACAAACTCAACTAAGCTAGAAAGTGGGTCTGCTGCCCATCAGGACCAGCACACTCCTGCTGAGTGCTTTCCAGGATGAGGACACAATGGCCAGGCCCCCACCAGCAGCAGAGGGCACATGCATTTCTCCACCTTCCCCAGGCAGAGGGTCATGGGCTGCATAAGAACATTAAGCGTCTGACTTGGGATGGCTTGAAATCCCAAGTGCCCTTTGCACATCCTTGTATGACCTGCCACTTCCCCAGGCTGACAGGCAGAGGGAACAGGCTCCCCTCTTCTCAGCAGGTGAGAAGCCCACTCTAGGAAGGGGTCTCCCAGGAACACAGGCTCCCATGGGACCTCTGGGGGATTGGCAGCAGTCTCTGGCCCACTGAGAGCTTCAGCAAAAGCCAAGCAGCAAGTCTGCAGAGGAGAGGAGGGAATAGGCTCCAGGCTAGACAAGATGGGCAGACAAGAGCACTTGGCTCTGCAGCTTTAAGAGCCCTCTTTCCCAGCACACAGCATCAAGGAAAAATCTGACATGTTTTTTTCTGGTGGATGTTAACAGACAAGCTAAAACAGCCAGTTGCCTTTTCCACTAATTTTCCACACAGCCCCCTGGGAGGCCTGCTAATGAAAGAGCCGATTGTGCCCCTGCAGAGGAACAGGCAGGTAGGGTGGGAGCAGCAGTGGCTCCGGGAGCCCAGCATGTTATTTCCACACCTCGAGAAGAAAAAGCTGCAGGGGAGGGTGCCCTTTGGCAGAGACCCCTACTGCAGGCTGCCTGACAGCAACAGCTGTTGCTAGGCTGCCTAGGCAGGCATCCTAGCCCTGAAAATACCTGGGGCAGGTGTTCAGGAACTCATTGGCTTTGCAAGATGATGGTGGTGGCAGCAGCAGCACAGCTCCCCATGAAGCCGTCACTGCCCCAGCAAGACAAGGTGCCACTCAGGGACACAGCAGCCTGTCCACACAGGGGACACCCTCACAGTTCCATAGCTGGCAGCTGGCAGTGCCAGGGAAAGCAGCTTGCCCCAGCCCCTGACACTGGGGAGAGTCTGAACCAGCCCTATATCACCCCGGGGCACAGGAGGCCCCTCTTCCTGCTCAGTACCAGGTCTGTATCTCACAAGCAGCAGAGCTGTGCTTGGAAAGAGAATAAACCTTTTCCAGCCCTGTGCAGCTGCTTGCACAGCCCAAGCCTGAATGACTGCCTTTATGCTGTAGCTGCTTGCACAGCCCAAGCCTGAATGACTGCCTTTATGCTGTAGCTGCTGCCGCAAGCCACACTCTGGAGACCACAAATGGCAGCAAATAGCTGTGGGGTTTGTGTTTCCATGCAGGCTGCAGCACTCTGGCTAACAGAGGAGGTATAGCTCCTGTCACATGCTGGCTCCCTGGCCCTGAGAGGTGGCCCAGCACACACAACACAACATTGCTTCGTTCCCCTCCAGGGAAGGGATTGCAAAGGGGCTGCTGCAGCTACCACCTTTCCTCCCCACCACATACCTCTAAGCAGGTCCCTGCGGAGCACAGGTCCTCCAGGCAGGGCAGAGGCTGGGGACCCCCATGGGGCCTGGCTCATACATAGATTTCCCACCGCTCTTCAGTAGATTGCTGAGGCTGACAGAGGCAGTGCCCAGGAGCTCATTCCTCAGGGTATGGCAGCTCCACACCTTCAGGTTCAAGTGGCTCTGAGCTGTGACATTCCTGTAGAGACCAGAGAAGGGGTCCATCACTGTGGCCTCAACCCTGAGGCTGGGTAGATGCACCTACCAGCTGAGGTTCAGCTGCCCCCAGGCCAGCAGTGCCTGCAGAGAGGCGGTGGGGCAGAGCTGGGGCTGCAGCTCCAGGTGTTGGGAGCAATCTCATGGCCACAGGAGGACCAACACAGCCTTGGCAGGGCCAACGGAAGCCAAGGAGAGGAAGCAGCAGAGCCCTCAAGTTACTGTTAACTCTTTGTGTTTGTTATGACTCTCCAGCTCCACATCACCACTTACTTCATTAGTGCCATTAAGAAGGCCCACAGAACACAGGTACATGCACCCCTCCTAAGATGCACCTTCTGCACCAGCCTGCGACCAGCCTGCTGGACAGACCAACAGCAAAACTTGTCCTCTGGGGCCTTTCTCATGCCACTATCAGCAACCTGCACCTCAGGTATTGTGCTAAGGGGCAAGGGCCCTGTTGTGTTTTAAGCCCAGCCACGCAGCCTCTCTCTCACTCCCCCCCTTCCTCTCCCCACTCCCAGAGGGATGGGGAGGAGAATCAGAAGAATGTAACTCCCACGGGTTGAGATAAGAACAGTCCAGTAACTAAGGTATAACACAAAACCACTACTGCTACCACCAATAATAATAATGACAAGGGAAATAACATGGGAAGAGAATACAACTGCTCACCACCTGCCGACCAATACCCAGACCGACCGAGCAGTGATCAAACCCTTCCAGGTAACTGCCCCCAGTTTATATAGTGGGCATGATGTGCTGTGGTATGGAATGCCTCTTTGGCTAGTTTGGGTCAGGTGTCCTGTCTCTGCTTCCTCCTGGCTTCCCCTCCTCCCTGGCGGAGCATGAGACTCACAAAGTCCTTGGTCAGAGTAAACATTAATGAGCAACAACTAAAACCACTGGTGTTATCAGCACTGTTCCCAGGCCACAAGTCAAAAACACAGCACTGCACCAGCTACTAAGAAGGAGAAAAATGACTGCAACTGCTGAACCCAGGACAAGCCCACAGTGGGGACTCTGATCCCTGCCTGAGCATCTTGTGACATGCAATGCCCCCAAGAGCCAGCCACTGCTTTCCTCGCCACACCCCTCCTACATAAGAAGCCAACAGAGACCCATCCCACTTGGGCTGCATCTATTTTTTTATATTTTTTTTTTCAAATCTTGACTCTTCTCCCCATTTTCTCTTTGCCTCATTTCTCTGTTGCTTACTTTGATGTCCCGGATCACGTTAAATACCTCTCAACTTCCAGAGGGCCCCCTCCGTGCTCAGGGCGCGGCTTTCCACCCTTCCCAAGGCAGCCTGGGCCCAGCATGCTCCCTCATGCCTACGGGTTTCTCTCCTTCGAAGGACAAGGCCGCCTCTCCCCAGCTTTCCCTGCCTGAGATTCCTAGTACTGGTGGCCCACCCTTGTCCCCCAGAGCAGGAGGCAGCCCTGCCACCTCCCTGCGAGCAACAAAGGCTGTCTGTCCAAGGGCACCACGAAGGGGAAGCAGCAACCAAGGAAACTCATTCCGAGGGACCTGCTGCCCAAGGCTGAGCCTTACCTCACCAAGCCTGGAGCGGAACAGCGCCTGCAGCCCAACATAACATAACATCTCATCTCCCTCTCCCCAAGCCCTAACCATGAGACAAAAGCATCACATCCAGACCAAGTCTCGGTTTGCCCCACAGCCTGAAATACAGATAACCACTCCACTTCCGGCTACAGCATCCTCTGTTATGTTATAAGTTGGTTACCTGACTACGCCACTTGGAAGCGGTCACGTGGGTTGTGGATGCTGTCACTCCTGGCATACTCAGCACGAGACTACAGCTCCTAATGTGCCATGCGGTAGGGCTATGGGGTGCGTGGAGTGCACATTGTGGCCGACACCAGTGAGTTCCTGAGCGCTACCCCACTGCAGGTACTGGGGAGCACCTGGAGGGATTGAGGGAAATCGGGGATCTGGCCCATGCTGATGGTGCTGCCTGCAGGACATCACCCAGAACTTGTACATCGTGACTGAGGTGCTGGCCGAGATCCGGGACCATCCAACGTGTCGTTGCCTGGCCGCACTGCACTACGAGATGCGCCTCCGATGACCGGGGCCCAATCTCTTACTCCTTGGTAAGTACCAGGGTGGTCCTGTGGAGCCCTGTAGCATGGCCCAGGCACTGTGATTCGGGGTGTTACCATGACAGTCGAAGAAACTCTCCAAGACTCAATTTGGAATTTTAGAAAGAAGCAATCTTTATTGCAGCACTGGCCGCACATGCAAATAGTTTTGCAAAGGTGAACACACCTGATACTTGCTGACAGAAGCTATATATTTAGCATACTCATGCATATTCACATTTTTTCCATGAACTAATTATAATATTTGCATTTCAATTACACATGAGCTTTCTTGCTGAGTGGGGGTCTTTGGTGGTCTCTGTCAGTCTTCCTCACTGTGTTTACTGAATGATCTCAGTGCTTGCACATGCTCACAGGGTCCTAATGCTGAGTTAGCAGTTGGTATGTCCTTGCTTCTGTTCTGATCCAATCTCACTCCATGATGGGTGCCACTCTGCTATCCTGAAGGCTGGCATCCTTGGTCTTATTTACTGTCTCCTTAGTTGTTATCAGTCCTGTGATGTTCCTTCCCATCAGCTGAATATTCCTTTCTCTCTACATGTTAGCAAGTTAGAACAGTTTGGCCTATTCTACTGTGTTAAAGGCACACACGCTATTGTTAGTTTAAACCTATAGTTTAAGCTTACAAAGGTAAACAATAATGAAATAAGGTTTCTAATGTGATTTTTAAGTTATTTTTGAATTGCAGAATAACCTTATTGTGAAGGTGCCACCATACCATGACCAGCAAATAACCTCAGCTGTTTCTGTGGGAATATATGTGGTAACCAATGCTGGAAGATCGCACGATGTGCAACCATTTACGTACACTCCAGACACATGTATGTGAAATAGAAAACTGGAGGAAGGGGCAGTTTTACCTGCAAAGCATCTTGGTTTTGATTTTCAGCTGGACATTTCTTACTCCCTACATGTCAGCAAATTAGAACAACTTGCTTTATTACATTTTTATGTAATATAGTTACTTTACTACATTATGTAGTATTACTGATTATGTAACAATTAATTTACTACATTAAACTCATACATATTATTGTATTTGATACGTTAGCCTGATGCAAAGGGTTAACTGATGTACAAGGGGCTTAGGGTTAAGCCGCTTGCTTAACAATGTTACTGCTCGTTCATGCTTATCATACTCGCTGTGTGTGCTAGAACAAGATGTAAGGACATGGCTATTGTTAAGAGGTAGGGACCGTGACTCGGTTCCCGTCCTTTGGATGCCCAGGCTGGCTGAAATTGGCTCTGCGGTTTGGACAATGACCAAGCCTCCAGGGAGCATGCGTAACAACTAGGGGTGAAAAGTTCAGGCTCGAGGAAGACTCGTTTACTTCATCTTATCAAGCCTAAAGCTGCAACTTAAGCCTACGGGGAAGGGGGGGCGGCGGCAGCTCCCCATTACCCAGCTGAACTGCTCCCTTTCCTTCTTTGCCTTCCTCTCCCTTCCCCCCCCTTTCCCTTCCAGTGACTGACTTCTCCAATAAGACTAGGGACTACCTCAGCCTCTCAGCCACCGACCTGCTGGTTCTTGCCCTCACCTGCCAGCTGCAGGCTGAGACCAACGGCTCCGGCTGCCTTTGCTGAGACCCCCAGGAGAAGTTGGGTCTGTGTATCTTCCCCAGGGATGGGGCCCCATCCTCAGAGTCGTTCAGCATCCTAGTCCCTCCCCAGGTGTGGCTTACCTCTGCCCTGTGGCACCCCAAGAACCCCCTACACCTCACTGGCTTCTACCTGCCCTCCAAGGTAAGGGACAGAGATGTGGTGCTCCAAGGTAAGGCACTGGGGCTGGGGATGCAGCCCTGCAGAGTCCCCAGGCAGCAGTGGGCAAAGGGCCCCTGTCCTGTCTTCCCCCACACCACAAGCACCCAGGGAAAGGCCAGCATCAGCCCAGCCCCTGAGAGCTGGTGAGCCCCTCTCTCCAGCATTGAGGAGGAGCTGCAGAAGCTGATGATGAGACCCAGGGCCTCCTCTCCTTGCTGGCTGTGCCACCCCTGGTCTGGCTGGCATTTCTGACCTCCACTGCATGTGCCATCACCAATTGTCTCCTCCACCCCAGAAAGCTCAAGCCACCTCTGTTAGCCAAGAGACCCCCTGAGGAGTACCAGAGCTCAGAGCATGAGGCCAGTGGTGATGAGGAGGACAAGGAGGAGAGTGATGATGAGGGTTGGATAACAGCAACCTCAAGCAAGTCCATCAGGACATGAGATACTGTGATACTGCGATACTGCTCCTGGCAGCATCCAGGTCAGCTGCATCACCATGGACTTTGCCATGCAGTTAGGTGCCAGTCACCGTCTTGCATGGGATGGCTCCAGCCTCAAACATGTGGGGGGCTGGTGGATTCTCAAAACTATTTGAACCACTGGGCTGGTTAAACCAGCACACAGAGACAGAGGAGTCCCCAGCCAGGCTGAGCGCAGCTTTGCAACAGCCTCTTTTATCTTAAACCCAGCCCATTCTCTCTGTGGCGGAGGCTCCTGTACAAAGCCTGTTGGTGTAGCTCCTATCAGCCTCTCTCTTGCCTGGGCTGGCAGACTCCGGTGAAAGCTCCCGGCAGTCCCAGCTCACAGGATCCTGGTTTCTCCCTCCTTGTTGAAGAACATGCTGCTGCAACTGGGCCTCCATGTGCTGGTGGTCAACGGCATGCTGATCTGCCAGGCCAGGAGCTACATCCTGTGCTGCCACAGCTGCTTCAGGTGAGCATGAGTGTGCAGAGCCATGCTGCCCTCAGCACGGTGCTTGCCAGGGCTGGGTGGATGATCCCCTATTCCATGGCCTGGGGAGCACTAAACTTCCTCCCCCCCATCCCTGTCTTGCAGGACCACTTCAGATACGACAAAGGTTTTCTGTCCCACTGTGTGGTAACAAGACCCTGAAGAAGGTTGCAGTGAGCATCAGTGATGATGGGAGCCTCCACATGCACTTCTCCTGCAGTCCCAAGGTGCTGAATCCCTGATGGCTCAGGGCGAGTGTACATCATGTGCTGGGTGCTGCTGGGACAAGAGCCTGGCCTGTGGCTAGAGGGGTTGGAGGGAGCCATCAGCTGGCAGGAGTCAAGGTGAAGTCATGATCATCCTCCAGCTGTTCCACCCAACCCCTTGAAGCTTTTGGGCTTCATTTGCTCAGTTCTTCTCTAGAGGCCTGTAGTCACCTTTAAGTACCTGAAGGTGACAAGTTGCCCCTGAAGTGAGTTTAACAACTGCTTCTCTCTTGGCAGTATCTGCTGCCAGCCCCCCGAGGAAGGAAGCATGCCAACAACCCTCACCTGGTAGAAGACCAGCACTTCCCACAGCAGTGCCTGTCCTGCAAGGCCAGGCAGAAGGTTAATGTCTTTGACCTCAATTACCCTTTGTCTTACCCTTTGTGAAGAATGACATCTATAGCTGCACAGCCAACCTCCAGATGCAGTATGTGGCTCTGGGCGCAGACAGGAGGTACCTGAACCCCAATGCTGTGACAAAGAAGTTTGTGAAGAGGAGGTGAAGGGCAGGAGGGGTCGTTGCAGTCACTGTTGCAAAGGAAGGACCATCTGCCTGGGTGTTGCATGGTGCTGCCCGATGGCTCCAGGAAGGGGCAGAGGTTGGGCCTTTCCTTCTGTGCTCCTCTGATACCCAAAGAGCAGCCATGACATGGGGATGATAGTTGTTAAGGAGGCTCCAACCCAGAATGGCCTGCCAGAAAACGGGCAAGGTAGTGGCTTCCTTGCTTGGCCCCCAGTATGCCCCAGGCCATGGCTGTGTTGCTAATAAACACCAAAACCCACAGCACTGTGGTTCAGTCTTGTGTCGGTGGCTGTCTGGGCTGGGCTCAGAGTCCAGCGTATGCCTTTCTCTGAGCCTTGAGAGGAAGAGGAGGCTGAGGAGACAGGCAGGGTTTCTCAGGGTGTTTTCTTTTGTCCTGTGGCACTAATGAGCAGTGGATAATAAGTGCCTGCAGCAGGGTCAACAGCTCCATAAGGGCAGATGCTAGCAGCAGGGGAGGGGGGGGGTTGCATTTGCTCTGCTATGGCACAGTCATGTCTGACCCTGGCAGTAAGCACAGGGCTGAAAAGGGAGGCACTGGGGTAGTGGTATGGGCTAGGAAAAGCCTTTTGGATAAATCTGCTTAAATCTTTGGCAGTGAGGTGTTCTGCCCAGCTCTGGGAGTAACTGTAGTTGCCACTTTTTCGAAATAACAGGTACTGGCTGCTGGCCCCCACGGTCCTGCTGGAGGTCACTGTCCCTGGGGGGGGGGGGGGGCGGCAGGAAGGGGGACACCCACTGAGCCTCAGCAATCCCAGGGCGTTTTTAGCACATTAGCATAAATACACCAAAGGTGTAGACAAAGGAAGACTGCAAGCAAGGCAGTAACTCCCATCACCTTGGCCTAGGATTTCTGGCATCACCTCCCTTGGTTGGAGGAGCCAGTCTGCATTGCCCCCAGGGCCCTCACAGATGGAATTCTGCTTTGGACTGACTGAAAGGAAGTCCCTAGAACACTGTCATTTGCAGGCTGAGGTTGAGGTGGCGCACCATGAAGGTTACTTTGGACTCTGAAGTCAAGAAGAAACACTGCAGTATTTTTTTACATGCACAGGCATGACACGGTGCCTTTACTCACACAGCAGCTCCAATGGGACACTCAGCCAGCATGGGCTCCTGCCATTCCAGTTCTTCTTGACCCCAGCTCCTTATGGTTCCCAGGTGGGTAGATTCCATACTGAGGAACAGCATTTTCTCCCAGCAGAGAGGAGGTGCCCTTGGAAAAAAAAAATACAGCAAGAATTTACACTGCAAAATGAAAACTTTCATTGTTTTATTCTTGACTGCAGCTGTTTACAGAAATATAGTTGCGAGTATACAAATGACCCAATAGAAGCAAAATAGTTTTGGTTTCTTTACTATTCAACAAATTATCACAGGATAGCTAAAAACATAAGATGCAAATAAAATATCCTCTTACAGAACAAACTGAAAACACCAGGAATCAGTGCTTGGAAAACCCACAACTACAAAAGCCACATACACAGAAAAGCACAAAGAATATCTGGTGCTACTTTCATATTGCAGGACAGTGGAAGAGGCAGCTCAGCAGTCAACCAGTGACCCAGGAACACATGGCAGAAAGGTGGGTAAGCCACTCAAAGATGCAGCTAGTAACAGAGGTAAAATCTTTGCTCTCAGGGTTTGTTGGAGCTTGCTCCTTAATAATGAGCTCAAATGTAAGCATTTCAAATTGTGTCCAGAATAAAAAGGCTTCAAGAATACTGTGGTCTGCTACACAGTATACTGGAATGCATGCCCAGTTCTGCAACACCCCAAAGAGCCACTCCAAAAAGGAGCTTGCGCCAAGCACCATTATTCCAAACTCAGGGGCATCTGGGCTCCTGAACAAAGGACACTCAGGCCAGACCAACCCCGGCTCACAGAGGGGGGAGCTCCAGGGACCACAGAGAAGTGAAAGATATCTACACAAAACCAACACAGAGCCCTTGGCTCATCTGAGTCCTGGAGCAAACGCACACAACTGGAATATTTTACAGTGGGCTGCTTCTGGGTGATGGAAGTTTGGAGTCTGAACCAAAAAGAGTGTCAGTGAAGTGTCCCATAGCAAGCAGGGAAATTCTAGGATTTGTCACCCTGCTCCCAATACACTTGAATATTATGAGGCAATTTCATGAAATTTAACAGCAAAAGCTACATTTCTCTGGGAAGAGCAGAGATAAGACCTGCAGGCTTGTGGGAGGTAAAGGCGACAGGATTTTCATGATGATCTTGAGAAAAAATCTGGGAACAAGCTCTGAGGCTTTGACATCAAACGAGCCTTGGGGCGATAAACTGGAATGTTGAAAGACAGGAAATGTAAACAAGCAAGTCTTGGGGCGGTAAGCCAGGCTGTTGTAACAAAGAATTTCAGTTTACAGCGGAGGACCTGAGGGATGTGAGAAAAAGTGAAGAAAGAAGGTGAAAATGTTGCCCAATGAACAGCCTGTGATCAGCATTGTGACTGGACTATTTATCTGGGAGATTTTTAAAGAAGCCAATGAGATTGAACAATGTGTGACAATGCAGGCTGGAAAAGTACCCAACAAGGGGATAAAAGAGCTTGATTGTGCCACAGTTTAAGCCCAGCCAGCAACCCAGAACTACACAGCTGCTTACTCACTCCCCACCCTTTCCTCCCCCATCTCCCCCAGGGAAGGAAAGAGAATCTAAAGAATGTAACTCCCACAGGTTGAGATAAGAACAGTCCAGTAACTAAGGTATAAAACAAACCACTACAGCTACCACCAATAATAATGATGATAAGGGAAATAACAAGGGAAGGGAATACAACTGCTCACCACCTGCTGACTGATACCCAGCTGGATCTGAGTAGTGATCTAGCCTTTCCCAGTAACTGCCCCCAGTTTATATACTGGGCATGACGTGCTGTGGTATGGAATACCTCTTTGGTCAGTTTGGGTCAGGCATCCTGTCTCTGCTTCCTCCTGGCTTCCCCTCATCCCTGGCAGAGCATGAGACTCACAAAGTCCTTGGTCAGAGTAAACATTACTGAGCAACAACTAAAAACATCGGTGTTATCAGTGCTGTTCCCAGGCCTCAAGTCAAAAGCACAGCACTGCAGCAGCTACTAAGAAGGAGAAAAATGACTGCAACTGCTGAACCCAGGACAGTATCCAGCCCTTATTCCATACCATTCATGTCATGCTCAGATCCCACATTTTTAATTTTACCATCAATCTTGTCTCGTGTATATATATACATTTATGTATATATATCCAAACACACACAAAGAGAGAGATCATTCCTTAGTGCATGGACCAATCCCTATAAAGTTGCTGAGTCCATCTGGTGGTTGCTTCCACCATGGTAAGCACATGGTGCTTGCCTTGGCAGGTCGGTGGGAGTGTGATGAAGTCAATCTGCCAGGCCTGCCCATATTTGTATTTCAGCCATCATCCTCCATACCAAAGAGGCTTTAACAGTTTAGCTTGTTTAATTGCAGCACATATTTCACACTAGTGAATAACCTGGGCAATAGTGTCCATTGTGAAAACCACCCCTCCATCAGGAGCCCATCTGCATGTTGCATCTCTGCCCTGATGGCCTGAAGTGTCATGGGCCCACCCAGCCAAGAACAATTCAACCTTATGTTGCCAATCTAAGTCCATCAGATCCACTTCAGTCTTAGCAGCTCTGCCAGTTGCTCTGCTTCCATTGCTGCAACGACCCCCACAGGTCATTTGCCACCATCCGTGAGTCAGTATAGAGATAAAATACTGACCACTTTTCTCTTTCAGCAATGTCCAAGGCCAGCTGGATGGCTTTCACCTCTGCAAACAGACACTATTCACCCTATCCTTCAGCAGATTCTGCAACTTGCTGTTGGGGACTCCATTCAGCTGCTTTCCGTCTCCGATGCTTTCCCACAATATGGCAGGACCCATCAGTAAAAAAGGCATGTTGCTTTAGACTTTCTGACATTTTATTATATGGTGGGGCCTCTTCAGCACGCATCACCTACTCCTCTGGTGACATTCCAAAATCTTTGCCCTCTGGCCAGTCCATGATGACTTCCAGAATTTCTGCATAACTGGGATTTCCTTTTCGAGCTCATCGTGTAATTAGTGCAGCCCACTCACTCCATGGGGCATCAGCTGCATGATGCATAGAGGAGACCCTGCCTTTGAACATCCATCCCAGCACGGGCTACCGGGGTGCCAGGAGGACCTGTGCTTCAGTGCCAATCACTTCCGAAGCAGCTCAAACCCCTTCATAGGCTGCCAGTATCTCTTTTTCAGTTGGGGTATAGCTGGCTTCAGATCCTCTGTATCACCAACTCCAAAAGCCAAGTGGTCGACCTCGAGTCTTCCCTGCAGCTTTCTGCCAGAGGCTCCGGGTAGGGCCATTCACCCCAGCTGCGGTGTAGAGTACATTTTTTATATCTGGCTCAGTCCGGACTGGTCCAAGGGCTACTGCATAAACTATCTCGCGTTTAATTTGCTCAAAGGCTTGTTGTTGCTCAGGGCCCCATTTGAAATCATTCTTCTTCTGGGTCACATGACAGGGAGGGCTTACAATCAAAGTGTAATTTGGGATGTGCATTCTCCAGAATCCCACAACACCCAAGAAAGCTTGTGTTTCTTTCTTATTAGTTGGTGGAGACATTGCTGTTATCTTGTTGATCAGATCTGTGGGGACCTAGTGACGTCCATCTTGCCATTTTATTCCCAAAAATTGAATCTCCTGTGCAGGTCCTTTGACCTTACTCCTTTTTATGGCAAAACTGGCTTTCAGCAGGATTTGGATTATTTTCCTCCTTTTCTCAAAAACTCCTTCCACTTTATCTATCTCCCCATACAATAATGTCATCAATGTATTGCAGGTGTTCTGCAGCTTGACCCTTTTCCAGTGCAGTCTGGATCAGTCCATGGCAGATGGGAGGGCTGTGTTTCCACTCCTGGGGCAGTCTGTTCCACGTGTACTGGATGCCCCCTACAAGTAAAAGTGAAAACTGGCCTGCACTCTGCTGCCAAAGGAATTGAGAAAAATGCATTGACAGTATCAGTCGTGGCATACCACTTGGCTGCCTTTGACTCCAGTTCAGACTGAAGTTCTATCATGTCTCGTACCGCAGCAGTCGATGGTGGTGTAACTTCATTCTCTGCTCCAGTTTCCATTAGACTTTTGCACTGGCCATATGAGGCTATTAAAGAGTGAGTGGATTGGTACTTTGGTTCAGCTGCAGTTCTTGCTACTGGGTTTGGAGTTGCTGCAGTGTCTGG